ATTTGTAAACCAACCAATTCTATTCATTTTCTAGACTGAGCAGTTGCCTAACTGAGTTGTATGGTATGCATGGTGGTTTCCGTAAATATTGGGTTATTTTTCTTAAAAAATAAGAATAGGAAAAAATAAAATAAGTATTTTTTTTTTAATGGAAGTCTAGAGAAATGAATCCTATGTTATATGGCTACACAGACAAACAAAAGCGCTTCACCAACTCGAATAGTCCTAATGTATGGTTCTTGATGGGTCCTGACATATTTCATGTTTTAAATTTCTGCTTTTGTTAATAAATGACTTTAAGGATCCACTTAAATATGAATTGCTATACAAATGCTTTGTTATAAGTTTCAAGATGCCATGTCTCACCTGTAATAGCATGCCCCCCAATTTTACTCTAATGGAAGAAGTTAAATCTTTTTAAGGTATGAGGAGAAAGAGAGGTGTTCCCCGAAGGTTGCTGAAGACCAAATTCCATAAGGTGATAGCTTTTAGACTTTCAAGCTCTCCTTCTACACACACACACACACACACACGACCATTGTAAATTCACACTGTGAAGGCAACTGCTTGTAAGCACAATTAAGTGTAGCATTTAAATCAATACCAGTAGTGAATGCCTGCTGATTTTTGTACGTATATTTAACTATATCTATTTGCATGGGAAGTTTTTATGCCTCCATCTCTACAAATTTTTTTTTTAGAGCTCATGAACCAAATCAGTTTTTTACCCATGCCCAGAGAGTGCTCAGAGAAGCTTGAAAGAAAAATGCTTTGCTAAATGAGAATGCTACTCTCTTATCTCTAATTGAAGCAGGTTATATAAAGGTTTTGTTTAGCAATTCTCTCGTCTACTTACCGTAAGGGAAGCTGTAGTTGATTTTTCAAATGTGCCCAGATATAGGTAATTATGTCAAAATAGAGGCTTGTCAACTCAATTTCATAAATACAGTAAATTCAGCCAATTAGGTAATATAGCTGCTCACAAACCCCACAAAGAAGACACTGATTATGGAAATCAACCTATTATTTTTAACCCTATATAACCCATTATTTTTAACCCTATATAACCCATTATTTTGGACAATACTTGCATAGATGACCAGAAACCAAGATATTTTCCCCTAACAGCTGCTTAGGGATAGAATCATTCAGATTAACTTTCAGACCAGGAAAAAGAAAATTACATTATCCTGTGAGGTCTACACCTCTGCCATCTTCTGAGCAATTTGGAATCCTTCCATCAAAACCACCCCTCCTCACCCTCACTCCCCAGGCCTACCCCCTCACCCCACCCCTACAATTTCTCTCACCTGAATTGCTTATTTGAGGAAGGTGGAGTTTAAAGTTGTTCTGTAACTACTTCCCTCATTTTCCTTAAAGTGGACTCCAGAAAATGTCCCTGGTATTCTTAGAAGGAAAGGTTTGGATGAGTTAATATTAATTTACAGTATTCCCTATAAATCATCACCTTCTTTAGGAAAAACCAAAAGCACATAATGCACAGTGCAATCGAAATGAATGGCCAGAAACTTCACAGTTATGTCATTATGATCCTCAATGGTTGAGTCAATTAAAAATAACCATAAAAAAGTCAAATTCAATGCCACTGATAAATTTACCAGAATAAAAACTCTCATTTAGCCCTCCTCCTAGAACAGACCGATTGAAGAAAAAGTGTGAAAAACAAATTTTTGTGATTCAAATTATTTTAAAAACCATGTATCACTTTTGCATGTCGCTTTACAATTTTAAAAGCATTTAATGTCAGCTTTCTGAGGTAAACTTCTCTCTCAGCAACTCAGTTGATAGCTGGAATTAAGGAAACTGAGGTGTGTAAGTGATTAGACCAGACACACAGAAAGCAGTAAAGTGGATGCACCAGGCCAAGTCCACAGATTTCTTTGATTTAGGGAAGGTAAGACTTTTTTTGTGAAGTAAATGAATCCTTTAAAATATAGCCACGCCCTCATTTTTCATTTTAGGAAATATGGATTGTCATGTTGTATTTATTTAAAGCAAGATGTGCCTGTATGTGTAATATGCTTTTGTTTGCTGTCTTGTTTCTATTTATGGAGAAGAATAAATCATGGCTGAATTATTTTATATATTCAGTAATCATTATTATACATATAATATTTTATTCTGATTGAACAGAAAATAATGACTTTCCTTAAAGAGATTGATTTCCATCTGATTAATATTTACTTTTTAAGAAAAAACTTCTACCCAGTTCAAAATTTCTTTAAAATCTTAGAACATAGCTCCTAGTTCACCTTTAATCCACTATACTATTCTCAAACTCATGACTACCTAGGCAAATTAATCTGCATTATTGTTTGAGATTAACCTTTCAACCAGAAAAACCATCTATTGTTCCAGGCCGTAGGTTGAATATCAGGAGTCACAACCTTTCTGGCAGAGGAAGGGAGTCCATAGTTTCAAGATCCAATCTTATTTTGTTCCCCGTTACCGAACGTGTTGTAGTTATTTTGGGAACTATGAAACTAGTCTCAGTTCATTCATCTGAAAACTGAAGAAGCTTCCTTATAAGGACTTATGTTAGCAAATAAAGAACTAATATTTGTGGAGTATTTGGAGTTGCTCAAGTTAAGGTTCTAGAAGAGAGAGAATGATTATTTTTGGTCCTCATATTGAAAATTACGATGACGATCCCTCCAGGGTATTGATAAATGGCAAGTTCAGAAAAGCTATGATTTCCAACCTGATATTAAATCTCTTTGCAATTTACAGCACGTAATTTAAGTTTACCTATTTATAAAGGGAGATGATAATAGCTGGCTCTGCATCACTGAATAATGAAAACAAACAAAATTACTTGAGCTCCTGAAAGAAAAGTAATATTGAAATGTAAGGAGTTCATATAAATACTGTTTTAAAAAGACATAACCCCCAGCGACAATGTGAGTTAAATGTTTCACTTCAACAGGCTTGATTATAAAACTCAATTATTAGCTAGTTTGATAGGATACACTGTTTCAGTGGGTCCTGTCCAAAGATTCTTCCACATTTAAAAAATCCTTGCAGGAATCTCAGCTTAAAGATGGCAGTAGCCCCCTCCTAACTGTTCCTTAATTATCTACCTGCTCCTGGAAGGGTAAGGGTAATACTGCCAGTAATGATGGGCTTAGAGGGCCCCCCTTGAAGAAATTTTCTTGGATTCCAAAAATTTTCTTGGATTCCAAAAGTTCCTTTCATCATCTGCCGTTGTATTATAGAGTAACAGGAATGAATAGTTGTAGCTACCATCCGTATAGGCAATTAGTATTTTCCTATTCTAGATTGTTCCTGACTTTCATATATTCAGTTTTCATACAATCTAAAAATTTGAACATGGATACCCTTACACTACTTTTTTTTTAAGATCATAAATTTGGTTTCTTACATATCAACTGACCAATAATTTTCTGCCTGGTCACAACCTCTGTAGAAAAGGCTTCTCTTTTACTGGAGTGGGGCACAGTTTAAACATTCCATTGGCTTCCCCACTCTCTCCTTCCATCCCCAGCCCTAAGGGCACCCCAGCCCGCAGGCCCTTCAGAATTAGAGCCAGGAGCTGCCTAACCTTAGCCAGGGGAGAAATCTCTTGGGGAGAAATCAGGCCCCTGGAAACAAGGGAGGCCTGGCCTTCCTCAGCTTCCCTGGTCTTTAAGAGTGACATTTACAAACCTACGCTGCCTCCCTAAGGACCCCTTGAGGCCTGAAGCCAGATTGTTCAGCTCTGGGAAATAAGACACATGTACAAACATATTTTGGGATGCATTCATACTTTTTAGCTTTCTGGCAGTAACAATCTCCATTCCTCCTCCACCTCAAGATACCTTGATAGTCTTTAAAATTTCGACTTTATAGCAATTTATTGGAAAAGTATGTTGGTATTTTCCAATTATATTGGAAAGGGTCTACCTATGGCATTTTGTTCTCAGTATTTTTCACAACTCTCTGAAGCTTAGAAGAGTTAGTTGAGTATTTTTTCCTCTGACTTCTGAAAGAATGCTACATGACAGGAAAAAAAAAATGGCAAAAGTTAGGAAACTAGACATTTCCTAGGTTTTAGAGATCTTTGATTATTCTGCTTGGCATCCCCCCCCCCCTCCCCCCAAGGCCCTGGGAAGTTATAAAAGAGCAAATGAAAAGCTGGGAGAAGAATAAAGAAGTAGAAGAGAGTGGGAATACTGTTTTCTACCACTCCCTCCTCTGAGGAGTGTTTAAAGAGACATGCATCAATTGAGATTCCCTGTAGGCCCCACAGAGCTGAGCTGGAAGTGCTGTGTCCTACTCTGTTTGAAGGAGAGTGGGCTGGCCGCTAGATCCCCAAACTAAGACTGAGCCAACCTGGATGATTCCACAAACAGAATCACTGTAGCTCAGAGATCAGTTTCCTTTCCTGCCTCCCTCTCACATGGCCAAATACCTCAACTCCAGGTTTGGTCTTTTTCAAGCTGGTCCATGTTTTCTTTGACCACACTGAGCCACCTTGTTGTTTATACAAGCTATCTTATCTCATAGTATTGAGTCACTCATGTTTATTGCATACACTTAGAGACTCCTCAGGAAGCTTCTAAGGTCCTGCCCTGCGAATAGAGTTCTCCTCTTCTGACTTAAGAAACTGAACTTTTATAGTATGGACCATCTAAGCCAATAAATGATTTCCAAACTCCTCAGCACTGTGATAAACAAACATTTTTGGATTTTTGTAAAAATCTCTCCCCTTACTTCCCTAAAAAAAAAATTAATTAAATGTATATTTTTTAATTTTTTAATTTGACTTTTATTTTTAAAAGCTTCTAGAGAATATTGTGATCACCTTTGATCATTTGCCATATCCAAGGGTGAAGTTAAACCAGCACTTACAAATACCAATATAAATCTAATACTTGTTGAAGGACTTAATTTTAAATTTAGATCTTAATAAATCTATAATTTATTGTTGTACAATCTTTAACGACTGATTGGCCCATTTATTATATGCTTGTTTGCAGGAAGTCTTCACCGAACTAGCAGTGTTCCTGAATATGTCTACAACCTACACTTAGTTGAAAATGATTTTGCTGGTGGGCGTTCCCCTGTCACTAAAACATATGACCTGTTAAAGGTAGGATTCCAAAGAGTATAACCCAAGTTATTGGACTACCATGGAAACATTTTTAAACTTGTATAGATTATTTTTTAAGGTTATCGTCCCAAATATTACTAGTTCCTAAATGAATTATGAGAAGATTGATTTTGTGTGGACACCATAGAAAACTGGGGACCTTAAACAGTAGCAAATCCTGGTGCAGATAAATAGTCAACCAAGTTAACCAAGTCTTGTTTAAAAACAGATTTTACCCAGAAAGGGGTTGGCTGACTTTTCCATGGGATTCAGAGAAACGGACACCTCGTATAAGAGTCACAGAATTGTTAGTCTTTAACAAAGATGAAAACTGATCTGTGCCTCCTTTCAACTTTATTTCTCTCTCGTGCAGCCAGGCATACCCACCGCTTATGAAGGCCGCTGGGGGAGAGGAACTGCACAGTACAGCTCACAGAAGTCAGTGGAGGAAAGATGCTTGAGGCAGCCTCTGAGGAGACTTGAGATTTCTCCTGACAGCAGCCCTGAGAGGGTGCATTACTCGCACAGCGATCACCAGTACAGCCAGAGAAGCCAGGCTGGGCACTCGCTGCGGCACCAGGAGAGCAGGAGGTCTACCCTTCTTATGCCCCCGAGATACGCTCGCTCGGAAATTGTGGGTTTCACCTCAGGGCCCGTGAGCAGACAGCGCCACTATGACACTTATCACAGACGGTTCCAGTACGGGTCTGTAAACGACACCGTTTTTGACAGTGCCCCTGTCAACCCAGTGGTGTTCACGTACCCTAGGCCGGGGACCAGTCACAGCATGGGCAACCTCTTGGAGAAGGAGAACTACCTGACTTCAGGGCCTGTCGCTGGGCAAGTCAGGCCACTTGTACCCCTACAGCCCGTCACTCAGAACAGGGCCTCTCGGTCCTCCTGGCATCAGAGCTCCTTCCACAGCACGCGCACAGCCAGGGAAGCCGGGCCCAGTGTCACTGTGGATTCAGGCGGCAGAAGGACTCACATGACCGTTGGCCAAGTGGCAGCAGGAGTAAGTGGGAACATGCTCACGGAGAGAAGCACTTTCACCGACTCCCAGCTTGGGTGAGTCCCGTTCTCAATCTGCAGTGCAGTCAGTGCCAGCACATTCTGTTCCCACAGCCCTTACAGCATGAGCTGGTACTTCTGGGGCTGCAGAGAAAGGTCTCCAGAGATAAGTGATTAAAATAATGACTTTTCAGGCAGCTGCCTAATTGACAGATTAACCTATTTACCTCAGGGACAGAGGCCAGGCTACCTGCTCATGTGGCAGCTTTACAGGGAAATGTAACGATGAGTCCATCTGTCGTTCCAAACTAGGTGCTGGCTGAAGGGGTGTCTGTCCCTTGGCTATGTGAAAATCTGCTCTGAGTGAGAGCGAACTCCAAAGTAGACCAAGAAATGGATCATTGCCTGCATTTTCTTGAAATATAGGAAGGAAAAAGGCAAAAATGCTTATTTCTGGTGCTGAGGGAAACTCAAAAGACTACCATAAAATGACTGAGAGCTAAACCAAGGCAGCTAATTTTTAGCTATCTCTTCCTTTTATACCAGACACTTCTACTTTTTGATTCTAGTATCAGTGATTTGGGGTTATTTTTTGGCAATATCGAATAATTTAGAAATTAAAATTTTAAAGTCATCCCTTTGCCTCTCCTGTTTACTTTATGGCTTGACTAATCTAGTCTTTTGGGAACTTAACTCTTACTCAGGTTTAATACTGGAGCACAAATTTTGTAAACTGAGGGGAAAGTTATACAGAGAAGGTTGAGGAATGGATGAATGATTAAATCACTAACTCCTGATGTAGTATCGTTACAGTAAAACACTGTAATTTTTGTTTGCTTTCTAACACTGCTTAATGGAAGTTGGTACCTTTAGTCATCACTTCCAGTGAAATTGTGCAGCGTACTTACTGACTATGGAGATATTGCTGATAAAAGATATTAGGGTTAATCTAAACTTGAAGCAGGAAATGTTTTTTATTAAGCAAAATTGTGCATGAGATGTCAAATATTTCTTGTATAAAGCAGGTCTTTGTCAATAGGAACACACTTATAAAGAAGAAAAATGTGTAAGCTAATTATTTATGGAGGAAAAAGCTGATCAAAGCTTTTAAATAGATAATTCAAAGTTTATTGAATGCCTGCTATATTCTAGAATTTGTGCGAGGCACAATTTTAACAAAATGATTTTAACAATAACAAAACTGTCATGGCACATCCTCCAACAACTGGCATTCTTTCTTCCTTCATCTCTGTGCCCCATGCTTCTTAAACCACCCTGCCACTTCCCAATCTCTCATCAATCCACTGCAATATGATATTAGTCCCCACGATTTGACTGAAACAGTCTCCCCATAAATACACCAGTGACTGCCTGTTACTACATCCGAAGCAGACACATATTCAGTCCTTATAGTATTCAACCTATAGGCAGCATTTCACACCACTGTCTGTGAAATTCTCCCTCTTTTGATTTTCAGGGCACCGATCTTCTCTGGTTTTCTACTAGCCTCTCCAGACATATCTTCTTAGTCTTCTCCAAAAAGACTTTTCTGCATGCCCAAAGAAGTCTTCCTAAAAAGACTTTTCTGCATGCCCAAAGAAGTCTTCCTTGATAATCCTTCTCTTTCAGGTCTTGTGCTCTTCCAAGGAGGCCCTATGTACTACACTTGTATCCTCTGATTCCCAAAGTTTTATCCTTAGCTCTGTCCTCTATCTTAAACTCTAGATCTGTATATATTTCTTTTTTTTCCTTCCTTTTTTAAATGCATTTATTTATTTTTTTCATACTATATATATAATTTTTTTTAACATTTATTATTTATTTTCCCTCTCCCTCCTCCCTTCTGGTAGCCACTAGTCCATTGTCCATGTCTATGAGTCTCTGTCCTGTTCATTCGTTGCTTTTAGGTTTATATCCCCCATATGTGATATCATGTGATTTTCAACCTTTTCTG